TTCAGCTCGATATTTATTTATCAGGAAACTTACAGAATTTTTTTATTCTAATGAAAGGAGTCATTTTCATCCTTAAAAAAGTCGACAGTCAGGCAACATAGTTATGGTAAATGATGGTCATTATCGCGATACAATATGACTACAAACAGGACAATTTTCACTAGTCATAAATTATAATTGGTTATCGTACGATAAGTCATTTACTTAATATAGCTCACTTGAAATTAAATTATCAATATACAGGGTAATTTATCAATCCAGAGTCAGAGTTAACGATATCAAAGGGAAGGGATATTAGTTACTAGGCTGGATTTCTCACACATAACCAATGTAAGTAAAACAGAATTCAGAAGCACAGTGAAACAGGATCATTAATATCATACAAGGAACAATGAAAAGAAATCAAACTGAAAAATTTTTCGAATGAGAGTTGAGAATAAAAAAGCACTGTATATCTAATCCTTCTTGAGCTTATAAAAAAGTAATGTGATGCAACAATCAGAATCTCGCTATGTATTACTATGGAGAAGTTTTATTCACATTACTATCGATTCGGGTCAATACCTAAGACTGAATTATAAAACAATATATGTTTCTAGAAGTAAACACTAACTATTGAACTCAAGTCAATCAGTCAAAGATTTTTAACCCTACAAATTAAACTGACTTGAAGAGAATGCAAGAGAACAACTACCCAATAAACAATGATTATCATAAAGCTTGTATTCTTTGACACTGACCATAAAAATAGCTAATAATAATCACTAACCTACAGTAAATCAATTCGAACATGTAACTTTATTCACCTTTATTATTATTATTATTATTATTATGTAATCAAAGGACGTCACTGAATGTGTTGATTATTCTTTAGATTGGAATAGAATCTAAATATTACACTGGCAAAAATTAAATTACCATATAATATCATACACATAGTTCTCTTTATCATTTTGAAAAGAGCATGAACAAAGAATAGCAGAATAACATGAATTCTGCTGCTTACAACCTGTGATATTTAAAATTATAATTACATAGTGGGTTTAAATTACTTACATGATAAGAACCAATGAAATTAAAGTGAATTCATACTATTCTGCTAGAATCATTGTTCTTGCTCTTTTCAATACCATATCATAGTTGGTTGTTATCTGAAACTAAATACTTCTAACAATTTACCTAAAATTTGTTAACAATTTTCCTAAATTAATGTGTAGCTTCATTTAAGTGATAAATTTTATTTTCATTTATTGATATCAATTAGAAAATTATTGAAAATCAAAGAAAAAAAAGAAAACAGTTGATACATCAAGCTGAAAACTTATTATTATTATTATTATTATTATTATTATTATTATTATTATGATAATTATAGATTAGATCACATATAGTGCTCTCCTTAATGATTTGAAGCATTTCAGTTCAATCCCATGTGTTGTCGTGGACATACAGAATATAAAAAAAGCAATCAAATTTGTCTCTGGTAATTGAATTACAGTAAATTAAGTTGCATGACTTGTGCAACTAATATTCTAGTTTATAAATCTTTTATCATCAATATAAAATCTAGCATAACTTCGCATCACTCGAAGTTCCCGCACATCCTATCACCGTATAGACAAAGAGAGAGATGAAGTTAGTAATATGACAACTGAAGGAAATTAATTAATTTCACCTGCAATGGCAATCCACATACGAGAAATATAATTCAAAAAGAGTAAATAAGATGGAAGAAGAAAAAAACTAAGAACAATATTTAATTTGAGACCTTTTACAGCCAGACTAACATCACGAAGGCGCCAAAGATGGCCCAGATTGGCATAAGCCGCTCTGGCCTTCACTATACGTGCATTGATCTCATCACTCACGCCACCACCAGCACTTATGCAGCTACCTAGATACACGAACTTCTATCTGCTCACCATCCAGAGTGAGTACAGGATTAGAATCCTGCCAGTCTTGTAGAAGTACTTTGCACTTCGAAGGTGCAAAGCACATACCATACCTACGGACATTGATTGCCAACTGATTAAGTGCGGATTGCATGGCTTGGGCATTCTCGCACAGTAAAACAATATCATCCGCATACTCAAGGTCGAGAAGTCTTTCTCCAGGCAACAGATCCACACCACCATTACTTACATCCATCAGAGCTGTTTCCAGAATGTCATCGATGGCAAAGTTGAAGAGGAATGATGAGATTGGTCAACCCTGCCTAACTCCACTGCTTGAATGGAACAATGGAGAGAGGTGGTTGTATGCCCTCACTCTGCCTGAGGTGTTTGTATATAGGGCTTTTAGGATGTTAATAAACTTCTCAGGCACACCCTTCTTCAATAGACAATCCCAGAGAACAGTTCTGTCCAACGAATCGAAGGCAGCCCTAATGTCAAGAAACACTACGATTGTTGGCCTTTGATAAGTATGACGGTGTTCTAACATTTGGCGGAGGGTGAAGATATGATCAATACATCCTCGACCGGAACGAAACCCAGCATGCTCCTCGCGAGTCAATCTTTCACGGGTTCTGAACAACCTACGAAGTATAACGGAAGCCAATAGCTTGGACGCAGTTGGAAGTAGACTTATTCCCTGATAGTTGTTACAGGAACGACGTGAACCATTTTTAAAGATAGGGACAACTATCGACTCATTCCATGACGTTGGTACACCATCTAGTTTCCAGACCTTTGTAAACAACGTCGTCAGTCCCTTAGTCAGAAAGTCACCACCATCTTTAAAAAGGCCGGAGGTAAGTCACCTGGGCCCGGTGATTTGTAGCGTTTCAAGAGTTGGAGTTCCTTGCGGACTTCCGCCTCATTCGGTGGATCAGTCGTCACCGGCCATGGAGGGAAGGACAGTCTGACCGATGTTGCCGGAGCAGCAGGCCATTTGAACTGAACTGCCCTTCGAAGAATTCTGCCCATCGTCCAAGACGTCGATGGATGTTAGTGATTGGCGTTCCGTCATCCTCGCAGATTGTTTCGCTCACACCAGACTTCTTGCTGCCAGTGGCTCGGATGAGTTGGAAGAGTTTCCGGTGATTACCAGATGCAGCTGCTGCTTCCAGCTAATTAGCACGCTCCGACCACCGGACTTCTCGGTCCTTACGCAAGCTTTGCTCGATTTTATTACGTAACATCCTCCGTCTGTGGTCAAACTCACGGTCACCTGGAGTAGACCGACGGGCTTCGATGAGTTGTAAGGAACGAGAAGAAAGCTAGTGCTTATAAGCGGGACGTTTTGCGAAGCCGCAAGTGACTTTACCCGCCATTTTCATGGCGTCATGCAATTGCGACCAATGCTCATCTATACTTTTCGGTGGAATGGTAGCTAGCCTAGAAGCTAGCTCGATTCGATACTTACTAGCAACAGAAGCTGCAACCAGCTTGCTAACATCAATCCTTTGGTGGCGGTCACTTCGTTGACCACTGAAAAGTAAGGTAAGATTGGCGCAGACCAGGGCATGATCAGATTCCAGAGAGGTACTCCAAAAGGAGCGGAAGTCTTGTACACAACCACACCAGCGGTAGCTGATCGCGATGTGATCAATCTGTATCCAGGATTGAGATGCAGAGGTATGACGCCAGGTGGCACATCGGCGATGACTGTGCCGAAAGTTAGTGCTAGCCAGAAACAGGTTGTGGTCTGTGCATAGTTGCAGTAGACGTTCCCTGTTATCTGTCCTGCGACCAACGAGTCCCCATCGGCCACCTAAACGACTCTCTTCTGTGTCTAGACGCCCGACCTGAGCATTCAAGTCTCCGGCTAGTACTACAATATCTGTCGAACGCACTTTCTGGAGAAGAACAGTTAACTGGTGGTAGTATCCATCCTTGACTGCATCCGGGCTGCAATCTGTCGGGGCATAGGTGGAGATGACGAAAAGACATCGTTTCTCACGTCGATTTCTTCTCACTTTGATCGAACTTCCTAATCTAACAGCACATCACCGACTGTTAATGGGGATCCAATCGATTAGTGCTGCCTCAGCTCTAGCGCTTAGTGTGACATTTAACGTCAGCATGACCAGACGAAGATGCCACAGGGTCCACGGATAAACGCATGTATAACAAGCTTTTTGAAGTGACAGATGGAGAATGAATTTATAGTTCTTCACCAGAGTCTTGAATACGGGTCTCTGATAGACAACAAACGTCGATATTAAGACTTTCCAAAGACATAGCCAGCACTATTTGTTGTCCGACCTGCATAAGTGTGCGAACGTTGAAGGCAGCCAGTTTGAATGATGCACGTGGTTTCAGAAAATCTGCTTCAGTATTCGTATTCGGTGGTAACATACAATTTTCAACTAGGCAGTGACTCGAGAACGTTTAGATAGAGCCGAATGTCCATCATAGGCGAGCTGCTGTATAAGTCGAAAAATAAGGATACACAGAGTGGGAATAAAAGAGAGTGAATAAATAACGTGGTAAGTAATAATAATAATAATAATAATAATAATAATAATAATAATAATGTGAATCATGATACCTCCCGGGTGCCCAGACCGAAGCAGGTGGTTTTCTTAGGGGGCCACGCCCTGAGCCTTTGACCTAAAGGTTTGATCCATCGTGAGGAGATGCAGTCCGATGATAGCCGGTGACCAACGATTGGTTTGTACACCGTTTGGTCCCTCAGGATACTGGAGTCCATGTGCACCATTGGTTTGGAATCCGGTTAAAACACCGGACATTCGCTTTTCATCCTTTCATTATCGTAAATAACACCCCCACCACGAGAAGGCAGTGAGTAGGACTTCCCTGGCAGAGGCTATATACGCGTGGCCGTGTGAGAGCATTTCGAGAGGGAGGGTGGGCTCACCCCACTCTCGGCCATACCAGGGCATTTGGTACTTAATTAAGTCCCAAACATTAAGCTGCAGTTCTAAAGGATAATAATACCTTTACATACAACATACAAGCCTATATAGTTACATGTTAAAATAGATTTTTTTTAATAAAAAAAATAATTCATAAAGCATAAAATGATATACTCACTGGATAAACTGTTCACAGATTGTCCATTAATCCATATCGATATGAATGAAGTTTCAATAGATAACAATAATAATAATGGTAATAGTAATGAATAGATTAATCCAAATACACAATAATGAATTGTAGATGAATATAATTTGTGTAACATTGTAAAATTGAATCTTTTATAATTCATACGCTGAATAAAAAATAAAAAAATAATAATAATAGTGATGAATGGTGATGTGTGTGTTTGCTTGTTTAATTTAATTTTTGTTAGTAAAATAAAAGAAACTGTTTGTTGTTAATTGTGTTTCTCGTTGACAAATTCAATTAAAATTAATGATGTTCAAGTGTGAATTAATTAACAGTTAAATCCATTGGAAATATTTAAATGATGCTGAAAAATCAAAGTTAAAAAAACATTAATTTTGTAATGAGACAAGAAACACTATGAAACTGTACAATCATTTATATAACAATACCTATGTAACATGTACGAATGGAAAAGTGCTGTGTTGAAAATCAAAATAGCCAATGTATTAGTTGAAGTTAGATATTAACACCGTTGGATCCTGACTGGGATAAACAATTCGAAAGAGTCAGTATAGGGTTGTGGAGACCACCGTTGGAAACCTGGAAACACTGGTGGTCTGACAACAATCGGTTCGTGATCTCAATCAAAAATTTAATAATCTCCACAACCTTATACTGATAATTACTATGTGCTCTCTAGTGACTAGCTTCGTGATGGAATTCTCGGAGTTCTAGTGAGAAGTCGTGACCAGTGGAGCTAATCCGTGCCGAGTAGAGACAGGTATCTACCTCAGTACAGTAGAAGATGGTAGCTGAATTTCGTGGGTTGGTTGATGTTAGGCATTAACACCATTGGATGCCGGCTCAGTGGTCTAGTAGATTAAGCGATCGCACGCGAGACTGGAGGCCCTGGGTTCGAATCCAACGAGCGGGATCGTGGATGCGCATTTCTGAGGAGTCTCAAGACAGGACGAAACCGTCATCCAGTGTTTCCAGGTTTTCAATCGTAGTCTAACATCAACCGGTTCAAAATCTCAATCAAAAATTCGAGAGTTTTTTAACTTTGTCAGTCATCAGGTTAAAAAATATTCCACTTCACCCATTAAAATACGAAACGATAGTTGTCTATTATTGCAAAAATGTGACCCATTGAGGAATTATACCAGATTAAGATATCAGTAGAATTTATTTAGAATATATTCCATTTATTTGTCCAATTATTTAATTGGCTCAAATGTCTCTATATATACATATATACTCCTCACATGATCCTTGTGAAGATCTAGTTCATGAACTCCAAGTTTAATGACAATAGTATTTGGATATGGTGTGCATAGAATCATATTCTCAACTTCCATCACTTTGGAATATTGCGCGACTATCATATATATATATATATATATATATATATATATATATATATATATATATATAATTATGGAATTCATAGATGATGATGAATGACGAACGGATGATCGACACACTTTATTGCAAATGAGAGTAGTCCAGTAAAGTATGTTTGTATAATTATGTGGATGTATGTGTGTGGATGAGTGAGTGAGTGAGTGAGTGAGTGAGTGAGTGAGTGAGTGAGTGAGTGAGTGAGTGAGTGAGTGAGTGAGTGAGTGAGTGAGTGAGTGGGAAGTGTTTACAAGCCCTTGTAGATATACATAATCAGTCTATTTTTAATTCATAACTGTCAATCTTTAAAAAGCATAAAAGAATGTAGAAAATAAAGAAAAATGACAAAAATGTGTCAGTCGTATTTTATTAACATAATGGTTACCACTTATCATAGAGTATAATTGACTAATGACATGTACACGTCATCAAATTAATTTTTATTTAAACCTTAATAAGTGATAAAAATCACAATATAGTTGTAATGATAATACGTAAATTGATTGATTTGATCTGTGAATTAGAAAACATCGTCATCATTGACAAAGTTTGATCTTCAGTGAATACAGATGAGAAGCTCCAGGTTATTATAGTTTAACAAAAGTATCATTAAAATATTCAAATTCTTTAGCATAGTCTACTACATAGTTACGTAAGCCTTGACAAAAAAAAAAAAAGGATACTGGCATTTTTCCTAATTAAATTATTGAAAATCAAGTAAATCATAAATGATGAGTCACTACTGTTTTGTCAGTTATCTTACATTTATTGACTGGTTTTAACTAGTCAAGTCGAAGACCTCTGTTTAGCAATCATTAATATGTGTTAGTTTTTTTTTCTTCATAGGGCTTCGAAACGAGAAACATTAACTATTGACTACCTCTACTCCCATTAAATAGAAATTGTTAATTCATACCATAATTATATGATGCTAATTGAACTACAAAAATTTAAAAAAACATTTATTTACTACAACCAATCGTAATACACATTATATGCTCTGTATTAGTACCAAAGAGTTTAAAGAGATTTAGGAAATGGATATCAAGCTTAATTCTAATATACGATAAGTAGAGTGCTGTGATATGATAGGTTGTTTTTTTTATAATGGAATTAGCGTCTTTAGATTATTGATGAATAATTAAACATTATTTGTTGTGAACAGTACGTAAAGTTTTAGATAAATTCATGATATATCAGAGTTGATCAAACAATTGACACGTGAATAATAATATACTCAATCCTTAATGGCCCCCAAATGCCCTGGTACGGCCGAGAGTGGAAAGAGTTAGCTCTCTCTCTCTCTCGAAACGCTGTCACATGGCGACGTGCATACAGACACTAACAGGGAAGTCCTACTCACTACCTTCTCGCGGCATTACTAATGTTTACGAAGACGAGAGGACGAAAAGCGAATGCCCAGTGCTTTAACCGTGTTGGTGGGTACGGAGAATCCACCAAGGAGAGTTGGAAAACACTGATTCTAAACCAATGGTCACATGGTCTCCAGTATCCTGAAGGAACAAATGGCGTATGAACCAATCGTTGGTCACCGGCTACCATAGGACTGCATCTCCTTACGATGCTCCACTGCCTTGTTGATCCGACCTTTAGGTCGAAGGCTCCGGGTGTGTCCCCCTAAGAAAACCGCGTGCTTTGGTTTGGGCACTTGGGCAGTATCCCAGCCCTCACATAAATTGAATGATTTATGTGGTGCATATCTGTTTGATGCCTCCTTGTACCAATATTTATGTCTACATATAAATAAAACAATCCTCAATAAGTGTAATGATAAACTCAATATTTATGATATTCATCATCATTACTCTAATGTTGATTCTCATTTGAATTTGGAATGAAAAATAAGATGTGAAATGGTATTCAATCTGTTTTTTGTCCTATTGAAAGAAAAAAATATGATGGAATAGTTTATTTGACGTGGTTTCTCCCCAACACACCATATAAATAAATAATTCATAGTGTCATATTGAATAAGAAGTTAATTCAGTGAAGAAAATTTTCTTTTCGACGATATCTTTTACATAAGCTGTGCATTAACCTGAGCCACAAATCACCATCTCATGCTGTACATTTATATATATATATAGTTATATACGGAAAATATATGTCTATAGAAGGATAGAAAAGACTACATCATAAATTTATTCAAGACTAAATATCAAATTAGGTTATGTTTCTTCCTTACCCCTTGATTAGTACGTAACCTCTAGTCAATTTATGATGTAATCTATTCTATCCTTCTATAGACATATATTTTCCATATACGAATGTACAACATAAGTAAATAATTTCATCAAAGAGAAAATTTTCTTTGCTGAATTCACTTTTTCTTATTCAATAATTAATTTTAATTTAGAATTTGAGATTTAAAACAAATTACTGGGGAGTTCCATACAAGGACAAAACGGTCGTCTAATGCTTCCAGATTTTCCATAGTGGTCTAGTTTTAATTAACTCAACTCACATAATGTAAATAATAATTCATGTAAATGTTATCGTTTGAAAAGAAATTCATAATGAAATTAATGAGTCATCGAATATTTATAACTCAATTCAACATAGAAATAAATAAGTAGTAAGGTCATCATTGTAATATATTCAGTTCATTGATTGTTCTAGTAGATAAAACTAAATCTTAAAAGAAATTCATTGAAATTTTGACCTTATAATAAAAAAGGCTGATAGGACCATTCCTATGTATGTAATGGACGAATGCACGTGAGTGTAAATGACCGAGGTCAACACAGTTTGTTTTTTTCTAACATTAATTGTTCAGACCAATTTATTGATTTATTCTGGAAAAGAATGAAACCTTTATGTGATGTACAAATGAATAAGTATATGTGGGTTAAACTTGTCAATCAAAAACAAATTAGACTGAAAGAAAAAACATTTATAGAAGTTTAATTGTGATTCATTGCTAGGTTTAACAACAAAGCAACCGGAAGTTGTAAAAAGAAAAAAACATTTATGGGCATTGAAACAATAAAACTAGCCTTGGATTAGCTATATGATTAAATTTTACAAGGCTATAAAGTATATACTTTAAATTAAATTGTATTTCTAACGCGAAAATGATTAAGACTAGTCGTTAGACAAATAAGTGTCACATAAATACACACATACAAACACACAATAGAATGAACGAATTGGACAAATATTTAGAAATTCAATATATTGGAAAACCATTTCCACCTTTCCAATTTTTTTAGCAACATATCCTTATGATGACATTCAAGGAAGAGCCTCACATCAGTGAAACTATATAGAAGCCTTGACAAGTGAATAGAGAATTCGGTATTTCAAGCTACTGATTGAAACTAACTTAGTACATGATTAAACTTACAAGAAATTTTTTTTAAAAAAAGAATGAATTCATTAGAAGAAATACATCGATCTTTAGCTTATTAGTGAAAGGTGTGTGCATATATGATCTACAGTTCTGACAACGTTCAAACTGGAGAAAATCCCTTGATTTACAGTATTTCACTGTAGAATAGCTCTACATGGTGTTTCAATAATCAAGTTGATTAGTCGAATATAGAACATTAGATCTCAGCACAAACTAATTTCCTGTATCATACAGTATATGATAATAACATCTTATTTACAAATAGTAAGTAAATTTTCGTCACTAACGCTAACTTTTTTTCAAAGAAAAAGAAAGAATTATGAGAGATACTGATCACATCTTACTTTACAGATCTGTCGATAATTCAAGTCATTATCATTTTTTGT